AGTGTTATACTCTGACCATGTAAGTATAAGAATTGCAAATTAAAGTAAGGCAAGTGAGAAGAACATCATGAACAACAGAGTGATTCATGTAAGTTACAACCTATATATCCAGGCACAGTGGTTTGCAGTCATTTTTATCACATGCTTTATTCTGGTTTTGGACTTATTTTATAAAGTCAACCACCCCTGTGTGTTTTTGTTTGTATGTATTTTTGTTAAGCTACTCATCAGCATTTCCTTCACATGAGGAGATATTGCAAGGAATCAGTTAATTTCTGGGATTTATTTATTCATTTATTTGTAAGAGTACTTATATGGGCAGATCTTCTTGGTGATGATGAAGAAACTTACTCAATCCCTGTGGAGCATTGAAAGGATGTTTCTTCCATCTACAAAAGTCTGCCAAAACACAGAGTGTTTTTGATTGTTCAGGTTTTTGACTGTCAGCTCACTCACTCCTGACCACTGTTCTTCTTAGCATTCCCCTTTCCCTCACCTTGTTAATAGCCCATGCATATTATTGATTTTTTATTTGTCCTGTCCTGCTTTAGAATGAATTTTTCACAATGAGAAATATGACAATTCTATTTGTTCGCAGTGCAGGTTTACATCATTTGCTTATTTAAATGTGTTGCTATCACTTATGAACATTACAAAGATATTTTCTTTTTTTCCCCTCCCCTCTTTTCTCTCATTCTAATTAATATTTCAATACCTGCCTCTCATTGTATAGCAATGACTATAATTCCTCCTCTTTCTTCTCATGAAATAGAGTAGGAAACTGTGGAGAAGAGTTTGTATAAATTGAAATGTAAAATAGCTGGCATTAAAAATGTACTGCATCGCAATGCCCCTTCAGTCATGCGGTATGCCATTTCAGTTTACAGTAGCTCAGGCTGTTTGGATGAGATGAAAGGAGCTGAAATGGTGAAAATAAGTGGTTCCATCTTGCCTGCAGTGAAAATATGATGATAATCAGATTACAGTCTTCCGCATCAGCATGGCTAATTAATTTTTATACTCTCTGAATGCAATAGTTTATCCAAAATAAAGATAGAGAGAAACAAAGTTAACCCTTCTTAGGGTTTGTTTACGCAGGAACATTCAGAAATATTGAAGAAAACTGATGGAGATCATGAAGTCAATGCCAATGTTCTAAAGATTATTCTCCAGTTAATTAAAACCATTTTACTCTTCAATGAAGGAGTTTGTACAGGGATTTAATGTACATTAAAGATGAGAACAGAATTTACACCCTTAATGTGTTTGCCTTACTGTTTTGAATATTGAACCTACAGTCTGTAAAATATAAGTGAGCGAGTACCAGTAGTGGAATATCTAATGTAAAACTTCATTTTTATATTTAGGGAAAACCCTTACTGAGATATTATTTGATTATAGAGTTGAGTAGAAAATTCTTGTGAGCCTCAAGCTTCAGTGAGATCATAAAGGAATACAAACAAATCTGTCCTTAAGCCCCAACTTGCAAGGAGTAGGATGTTGGTCATAGCATTTATCTATGGTAACATATATTCATTAATAGACATTTTCCAGTATTTAAGAATGTTCATATGGGACCCTACCAAAAGGCAGTTTAACCCAATATCCTATCATAGAGGACAATAAAAAAGGGATGGCTAGGAAAAGTTATATGAAGAGTGAAAGCAGAAATAACAAGTATATTGCATTTCCCCCGATGATCTCTCAGACTCCAAATTCTTTTAGATCAAGCCAAATATCATTCCTGTGCAATTACTGACCCTCAGTGGGTTTTCTTTCATGGATCTCTCCAGTCTTCCACTGAAAATATTTAACTTGTGTAAATGTTTAAAAGGATGCTGTCCTTCATTTAGATTCTACAGCTAAACACAGAACAAACAATTGTAGATTTCCATACACATAGGAAAAGCAGATATATAGACTCAGTATATGGACCTTTTTTTTTTTTTTTTCTTTTATTTCAAATTATTTTCCAGCAAAGTCTGGAGTACATGGATCTTTGGTTTTATTGAAATCCACAAAAATGAGAAACCAAGGAACATTTTTGTTGTTTATAGCATATTGGAGTATTTAGAAAGACTTGGTAACACTTCCATTGTTCAGTGTCTTAGCATTAGTAGTACAACAAATTCCAAAACATATATTCTTTAAAGATGTAATAGTTTTAAAAATATGATTTTTACTTGCAACCAGTTTGCATCAGAGAGTTTCTACCATATGGCAGAGAAAGAATATGAAACCATATGCATCCAGCACTGGGACTGTGTTCCTGAGAAAAACCAGTCTGCTATTTTTATTCTGGCCAGCAGGTGTCAATACCCCAAAGTGAAGAAGTGCCCAGCAGCCAGATACAGTCAGAAAGAGCGAGGCTGGAACAGGGATTATATGTATTTTGGATATCTTACTTTGAAAGCTGACTTTGTGAAGTTCTTCTGTGCTTCATCACTATCAGGAAGGAAGCCATCTTCTGAGGGGAAAGGGGGAAGGGAAATTAAGCAACCCTTCCATCTAGAAAGGAGGTAGCTTTTAGTTTCTTGTCCTACTGATCCTAGTAATAGTATTTTTATTCCTCATCCCCAGAACTCCAAAGCTCTGTGGTGTCTGACTTCAGCCTTCAAGCCTCTGTGCTCCCTAGTCAGTCTGGCCGAATCTACCCAAACACCAGAAAAGTGGCTAAGAGTGGGCTACTTGGCTGTTTTAATCAGTGCAAGGGACCCTAATCAAAGCAGATGAAGTGCTATTGCATCCTATCTATTTTTCTCGTAAAGGTCCTATTCTAATACATATTAATGGATGCTTTTGTATTTAAGATCATAACGCCTGTCAGCAGCTAAAGTGAAAAAATCTTAAGTGAAATTTGTTTTCAACACAAATTTCAACATTTACATTATCGTAAGTAATGTTTTTTTGGACCCATTTTAGACTTCCTTGAAACAGAAACTTTTAATGTTTTTTGTAGTTACATGACACATCCTCCTTAGATTAGGCTTTGGAACTTTTTCAATTAATAGTAAAAATATCCATCTTTCCATATTATTATACATTAATCATTGTGGGTACAGAATGGGTAGCTCTTAGGAAGGGTATGTGATTCCTTGGGATGTTTCAGCCTTTTTTTACTGATTTCCACAGAAGTCGTGCCTACAGGTTGTATTGCACTGTTTTAAACACTGCATAACCATAATAATGAAATAGTCATAAACATTGCATTCTTTTAATGTTTTTTTGTTTTGGTTTTTTTTTTTTACTTTTACATAGATTCTCAAGGTAGGATATTTTACCTTTCAACAGTTTTTTTGATCTCTGCTAATAAGCAAAGTCTTGTTAAAAACTGGCATAGTTTAGGCAAATATAAAATTTATCATAACGCGCCCACAGTCTTGGTCTCTACCTACCGCTCAGGATGAAATCCTGGCTGAAACTGAATGTTTTGAGCTATTGAAATTCTGGCCTTAACTTCCCACCAGCTGCTATTTTACAGTGAGATGGTAAGAGCTAGGAATTTACATACTCCATTTTTAATTTAATCAAATGTTGTCAGCCAGCATCACATGTTAGATACTATTTCCATCAGAAGGAACTTAAAAACCAACAACCTGAAAGATTAAAAACCTCTGCCTCTTGAAGATAATAATCTTAGTGAATTTTAACAGATTGCTTTAGCAGATGGAGATGTGATATTCACTACAGTAAATTACATTAACATGCTCTCAGACAGAGATGTCACATTTGCCACAGTAATTTACATTACCATGATTTGAGACAGATTTGATTCCCCAAAAAGAATTAGAAATAACATTTTATCAATTCACTTTGCCTTGTCACTTCCTCAGATATTTGTCAGTCTGGAGTGGGACATGTTTTTTACCAATGGGTGCCATGGTGAACAGGACAGAAATATTGTTTTGCTGTGACCATCTATAAACAATATGATGTACAGGATCCTGAATGGTACCACACCAACACCATATACCAAGACATAAAGAAAATAAATCCCAAATATTGGTACAGAGTAGTGGAAAAAGATTTTTATTTTTTTTTTAATTCTGTGTAATAGATTAATTTGACTCCCGAACATGGTATCTGCACTTTTGTGTGTCTGTATAACCTTCTACCACTGCCCCTAGGAGATCTTGTCACCCACTTGAATAGGTCAATGGAAACCACTCTGAAAAGGAATTTAACCATCTGTACTGTGTGTTATCGTCTTCAGCCAGAGGACTGTGTGGTGCAACTTAGCCGTCGCCCCCTGTTGTGCAGGGGATTTGGGCAACATGTTTATGATGGCATCTGCTATATTACTTGAAAGAAAGTATGCCTGCATCTCTGTGTACTGTATAAAATAAATAATGGTCCCAAGAAGTCCTTAATCTAGTCCTAAAATCAGAACAGAAAATACAGAATCTATAAGCAACAAACATGCCTAATAAAGATGCATTGGGAGAAAATTAAGCAGCTGTCCGAAGTTTTACGGAGAGGCTTTCAAGTTCTGCTTCTCTAATTACTGGATTTCTGAATAACACAAGCAAGAGATTCCATGCTATGGAGCTTCAAAGGGATTTTTATGGTTAGAGGGTTAGTGGCCAGTCTTGGGGAAAATGTTTCAGGAATATTTCAGGAGAGTATCTTGAGGCTGTGGTGAGACAATTTCAAGTGATTGTCTCTATGATTTGACTCAAAATAGATTTAAGCGATGACCAGAAAACTTTGGGGGACATTTCTCTGGACTATGAAGCTTTAAAGTCTTAAATCTAAACCTGCTTGGAGCAGCTAAAGATATGTTTCCTCAATGAGGCAATCCTGTATTAAATAAAAGCCTATATGCAGCACTTCTATGTATCTTTTAGAAAAGCTGTTGCTGTACATTGAAGGATAGTGAATAATAGGCCAGTTGGAGAGAGAGAGTGTTTTAATGCAGGACTTCACGAAAG